AAAAAAAATTTTTTTTTTCCTTTGGTTGGGCAGCGCCTGTGGCTCAAAAGGGTAGGGCGCCAGCCCCATATGTCAGAGGTGGCGGGTTAAACCCAGCCCCAGCCAGAGAAAAAGTTTCTTTGGGGGCCAGGTGCGGTGACTTACACTTATAATCCTAGCCCTCTGGGAGGCTGAGGTGGGTGGATTACTTGAGCTCACGAGTTCAAGACCAGCCTGAGCAAAAACGAGAACCCGTCTCTACTAACAAATAGAAAAACTGAGGCAACAGGATCCCTTAACCCTGAGTTGGAGTTGCTGTGAGCTATGATGTTACAGCACTCTACCTAGGGCTAGAGCTTAACACCATCAAAAAAAAAAATTTTTTTTTTTTTGGCTGGGTGCAATGGCTCACACCTGTAATCTCAGCACTTTGGGAGGCTGAGGCAGGAGGATCACTTGAGGCCAGGAGCTACAGACCAGCCTGAGCAAAAGTGAGACCCTGTCTTTAAAAAAGAAAGATTAGCCAGGTATGGTGGTGTGCACCTATCGTCTGAGCTACATGGGAGGCTGAGGTGGGAGAATCACTTGAGCTCTGGAGTTGACATCATAGTGAGCTATGATTGCACTGCTGCACTGCAGTAGTCACTGGGTGATAAATAGAGACTCTATCTCAAAAAAAAAAAACCCACAAAATTTTAGATATAATATACTATACTATCATGCCAAGATACACCTCCTACTGAAATGTAATTAGAACTGACATTATTGTCATGATTTTGGACATACCACCATCATACAATCTACTTACTAGATGGAATACTTCTTTTATTTTTTATCTCATCTTTATTTATTGGCATATGTGTACATATATATGTGTATATAAAACATGGATTAATATTCAAACTTAAATGTGGAATTACAGAATTTTAATTTTTTTTTTTTGAGACACAGTCTCACTATGTTGCCCTTCTTAGAGTGCTGTGTCATCACAGCTCACAGCAACCTCCAATTCTTGGGCTTAAGAGATTCTCTTGCCTCCGCCTCCCAAGTAGCTGGGACTACAGGGGCCCACCACAACACCCGGCTATTTTTTTTTTGTTGCAGATGTCATTATTGTTTAGCTGGCCTGGGCTGGGCTCAAACCCGCCAGCCTCAGTGCCTGTGGCCGGTGTCATAACCAGTGTGCTGCCAAGCCAGAATTTTAATTTTTGGGGGGGGGGACAGAGCCTCAAGCTGTCCCCCTGGGTAGAGTGCTGTGACATCACAGCTCACAACAACCTCCAACTCCTGGGCTCGAGCGAGTCTCCTGCCTCAGCCTCCCAAGTAGCTGGGACCACAGTTGCCTGCCACAATGCCCAGCTATTTTTTTGGTTGCAGCTGTCATTGTTTGGCGGGCCTGGGCTGGATTCGAACCCGCTACCTTAGGTGTATGTGGCTGGTTCCTTAGCCACTTGAGCCACAGGCACTGAGCCTAATTTTTTATTTTAAATGAAAGTGATTACTAGATGTATGAGATTTTCCTAATGGACCCACAGAGACAAAAATCATTCCATAGACAAGCTTAGCTTGGTTTCTACCATGTTTTAAAATTCAGAACATGATGCATTGAAAAAAAATTTTTTTTTTTTGAGACGGAGCCTCAAGCTGTTCCCCCCAGGTAGAGTGCTGTGGCATCACAGCTCACAGCAACTTCCAACTCCTGGGCTCAAGCGAGTCTCTTGCCTCAGCCTCCCAAGTACTTGGAACCACAGGTGCCCGCCACAATGCCTAGCTATTTTTTGGTTGCAGCCGTCATTGTTGTTTGGTGGGCCCGGGCTGGATTTGGCCACCCCAGGTGTATGTGGCTGGCGCCTTAGCCACTTGAGCCACAGGCGCCGAGCCTGAAAATTTATTGAAAAAAATCTCCAATATTGAAAATACCAGGCTATCACTCCAATATAGCAATGATAATGTCAAGCTGAATAACTGCTACATCATTTAAAATTGGGTGGCACCTGTGGCTCAGTGAGTAGGGCACCAGCCCCATATACCGAGGGTGGCAGGTTCAAACCCGGCCCTGGCCAAACTGCAACAAAAAAATAGCTGGGGGTTGTGGCAGGCACCTGTAGTTCCAGCTACTCGGATGGCTGAGGCAAGAGAATCGCCTAAGCCCAAGAGCTGGAGGTTGCTGTGAGCTGTGACACCACAGCACTCTACTGAGGGCAATAAAGTAAGACTCTGTCTCTAAAAAAAAAAAAAAAACATTTAAAATTCTCTATTACCCAGCTTATTGCAATATCTGATATCTGTAGGATCTCTTATCACCAGGAATAACTCTTTGTTAAATTTCACTGTTGGAGAGATTATTCCTCCTTCAATTTTTTCTTTTGTGTGTGTGTTCCCTGTGGATCGAGTGGTTTCCTAATCTAAAAGATGATTTCAGGATGTTTCTAATAGCTGTAATCATGCTAATGGCAGTGAGTTTACTTTATTAACTTTTAAAAATTACCACATATTTGAAACTCTAGCTTCCATTTAGTGAGAACTAGTGTGTCAGGCACTAACTCGTTTAATCCTCTTAATCACCCTATGTCATGAAGAAACTGAGGCTCAAAGAAGTTAAGTGACTTTCCCAGAATCACCCAGGTGATAACTGGTGTTACTAAAACCTGTTCTCAGCTCTTGCTTACTCCAAAACCGATGCCACGATGCACACACACTATAGAAAATTAGAAAATCCAAACAGCCAATACCAACACTCACCCACAGAACCATCACCTAAGCATAACTACTGTTTTGTTTTTTTTGAGGCAGAGTCTCACTTTGTTGCCCTTGGTAGAGTGCTGTGGCGTCACAGCTCACAGCAACCTCAAACTCCTGGGCTTAAGCGATTGTCTTGCCTCAGTCTCCCGAGTAGCTGGGGCTACAGGTGCCCGCCACGATGCCTGGCTATTTTTGTTGTTGTTGTTGTTATTGTTGTTGTTTAGCAGGCCCTGGGCTGGGTTTGAACCCACCAGCCATGGTGTATGTGGCCGGCACCCTAACCACTGAGCTACAGGTGCCACGCCAGCATAGCTACTCTTTATATTGTGGTGTATATCTTCCCATTTTTTCTATGTGTGTTTTATATGTAATTTTCTTTTCTAAAAATGGGGAAATTTTGATGTTTTATGGGGTTTTTTTGTTTGTTTTGTTTTTTTGAGACAGAGTCTGAAGCTATCGCCCTGGGTAGAGTGCCATGGTGTCACAGCACACAGCAACCTCAAACTCTTGGGCTTAAGTGATTCTCTTGCCTCAGCCTCACAAGTAGCTGGGACTACAGGTGCCCACCACAACACCCAGCTATTTTTTGGTTGTAGTTGTCATTGTTGTTTGGCAGGCCCAGGCTGGATTCAAACCTGCCAGCTCTGGTGTATGTGGCTGGCTCCCTAGCTGCTGAGCTACAGGCGCTGAGCCTATAGCTTAATTTTTTCATGTCCTGTTGTTAAATATGTAGCAAATACAATTGGCGTTTTAGAGCTGGAATTTGAGAGAGTATGTAAGCTAACCTCATTTTGGTTATGAAAAACTGATGTTCAGGGAGGTAAAAGGACTCAAAAGTTACGTGGCTGGGCAGGAAACCAGGTGTCCAGACTCCTAGTCCAGTTTCTCCCCCTACCTTCCCTTTGGTAGTCCTGTAAGCTACAGATATAGGTGAATCATAAAAGGCAAAACTCCCAGTATACAAATGTCCAAGACCTCCATAGTAGGCACAGTTGATGGGCACTATAGACTGGTATGGATAGTAGCACTGAGGCCTATAGGAAGACAGAAATTCTCCTCTCCTGGAACGTACCTTGAGCAAGGAAGTGGACAGCTTGCAGGCCCTGCTCTCCTAGGCAGCCATAGGCAGAGTTCAGAAGCAGGCTCCCTACCCTCCCACTACCCCTATAAATACGCTAGCAGGTGCAGAGTGACAGCTCCCCTATGGTGGAAAGGGGCTCCCCTGTATGAAAGCCAAGCCCACTGAAATTTGGCTTTACCCTATGGCCTGAGTCTATTTACAACTCCAAGCCCTACCCACCCAGTGCTTCCCACTCCCTCTATCAGCCCTTGAAACCCAAGTGCCTAAGCTCCCATCTCTCACCTACAAGACTGCCCAATCCTGGTCTTTGAGCAGGAGGGCACCTGTAACACCCCCAAATACATCCATCCATGCATGATACAGTCTCTCCCAGCTGTCAGGAGGTCCTTCCAGGTCCATCTTAGTTCCCCTTCTATGTAACCCAAGGGAAGTTTCTTTATTTTTCTTTTTTTGTTTGAGACAGAGCCTTAAGCTGTCCCCCTGGGTAGAGTACCGTGGCATAGCTCACAGCAACCTCCAACTCCTGGGCTCAAGCGAGTCTCCTGCCTCCGCCTCCCAAGTTGCTGGGACCACAGCCGCCCACCACAACACCTGGCTATTTTTT